GATATCCTCTTCTCATTATTCTCTTAAGGTTTTTTTTTTTTTTTTCTATATTTTTAAATTTTATATTTATATATATTTAAATTTTAAAAATTTAAATTTTGTTATTGTGTTCTTGTATTTTAAATTCTGTATTTGTATGTTTTATTGATCTGCATTCCCTACCCCCACTCCACCCTCCTATTATCTGGATGGAGATTGTTGAGGGTCAAATGGGTTGTGAAAGGGCAATGAAAATAAAAACCTCAATAGAAGGACATTTGCACTTGTAATGTAAACAATACAATGTGCCTTGAAGTATAAAATGCTAGATTTCCAGCTATTATGATCTATTTAATAACTGGAAAGTTTTAATAACTGGAAAAATTTAGCTATTAGTAAAAAATAAATTCTGTTCTCTAACTGCTGAACTAATTTGCAATTTTCCTCATATTAATCCTAGATGATGGAAGCAAAACTCTGGATTACTCTGACTAGAGAAATATAAAAAATGAAACATCAAATCTTGAAAACATCCCATTTTAAAGCAGGTAATGGGAAATATCCAGAGAAACTGGCATCTAATTTCCAATAAACATCCCCAAGCAGAAAATAAAACAAAGCAAACAAAACCACAACAAGAGTGGTTGCTGTACCATCCACACAGCTGGTTGTCTAACATGATATCCAGGCAAATTCCTTCCTTCCTCTGCCATCACAGAGGCTAACATATCTGAAGTTAGCACTAATTATTTGAGAGTACTGACCATTGCTACAACAGGTGGCGGTCAACTGGTTGATAAAAAATTCAGTCATCAGACCTGATTGTTACTTGGATGGGAGACCACTAGGAAATCTTAGGACTATAGATTAGACAGCAGAGTTGAAAGATGATATAGGAAGAAGGCAGTGACAAACCACTTCCATAATATTGCCAAGAAAGCTATATGGCATATCCATGCATTTACTGGGAGCTGAGCAGAACTTGAAGGAGACTTTACTTTTGCCTTCAACATTTCATACACATGGGAAGGAAAACAAACCATTATTCTAGCATTCCATAACTATGTTCACACCAGGAGTATTATACTTCAGTTCCCATAACTCCTTACTAGGACGGTGAGTGCTTATGCAAGCTGAAGTCCATCACCAGGTTGGGAAAGACTATACTAAGCCACTATTTCACAGTAAATTCTGATTCTTACCTGAATTACCAAGGGATGGATGGATGGATGGATGATTCCAACAAGTTCTGTTCAAATTGAATTAGTGGGAACCTAAACTTTATTCTGGCAATACATCTTCTGTCAAAGGTTTAAAAGTACCTGTGATCTCAATCTCTCTTTTTGTGATATGTTAACAACCAAATTTCCCTTTTTTAAAAAAAGGCCTTTGTCTTCTCTTTTGTTCTTCTCTTCTACTGTAATCCTATAGCTACTCTGAGGTAAAAGAACAGAAGAGAAGACAAAAAAATTATTTCTAGAGAAATATGTACAGGATTGTAGTCTTAGAGGCTAATTGAATCAAAGTAACTTCCACCATTTGGAAGAGGGCTAGTGTCTATTTACAGACACAAATAATTTTTAAAAAATGATTAACATTACAGATTGTTGTGTGTAATTCCAGGGAACATAATATCATGGTACATGCTAATCACCACCCTCTGTGAGGACATTCTACATGGTGATCTACTCCCATATGTCAAAACTACATTTAGAAGGGGCTTTTCAAGCAGCATCTGGGATGACAAATATGTCAACGAGGTAGAATATCTAGACAAGTGTTTTTCACACTTGGCACTGGCTGGGGAATTCTGGGAGTTGAAGTCCACACATCTTAAAGTTGCCAAGTTTAAAAGGCACTGATCTGGACAAACTTAACTTCAATTGATTATTTTTCCAATGTAAGGATTAAGTGTGACATGACAGTTCCTATGGGCTGCTGCTGGGACCAATTTAGATGATGCAGAGGTGTTTTATAACATCCTGAAACAGCTCTCTGCTGCACAGATATAAGACAAGAAAACAGCAAACAGAATAATAATAAACTCTGCCAAATCACAATTGTCAAAGTGGAATTCATCATTTCAAGGCAGCGGCATGTTCTGTAGACCTAGTCCAAATGCACTGGACAAAAAAGTAAATAAATGCTATCCGCATAGGCAGAGATGCCCAAGGCATTCCAGTTAACACATATTATGGATTATGGAATTCTCTTGGTGAGTGAAGCTGGGAAAAGGGAATGATAAATGGAATTTAATGATAAATTCAATGATAAATTTATAAATGATAAATGATAAATAAAAATAAATGATAAATTCAAATGGAAGATAACGAAGAACAGGGATATCTCCTTGTACAGTTCTTTAACCATGCTGATCATGCAATCAAGCTGCTGCTACTACCACCGAGCTCCTGAGGGAAGAGAGGGGAATAAATCTAACAAATAAATCAGCTTGATTAGTTCCTAAGTGCCACACGGCAATTCCCGTCATCCCTCAAAGAGAAGCACGCTAGCAGGGAATGATGGGAACTGCACAGCATATCAAGTTGAGGATGGGTGTGCTAAAATAACTTAAGTTGCCGCTGTGTTTCTGACCCCATTTGACCTCGTTTCAGAAGACAAGCCTCAAAGGGGGGTAGGAAATATAGAAAAAAAAAAAAAACAGTACTGGTTGCGCCTTTATTAGCCAACAGGTAGCCGTCGTGGTCCCCCCCCCCGCCCGCCCGCCCGCCCGCCCACCCATTACGCTCTGCAAAGGGCTCGCATCTCACCCGCAGCAGCGCTATGCCCGCCTCAAAAGCCGGCGACGCTCGAGACCTCGCGCGCGACGCAGCCGCGTCCCAGGCTCGGTTTACCTGTCGGGCCAAGCGCGCGCCAGAGAAGGGTGAGGGATTCCTCCTGCTCGCCCGCCGGCTCAGAACGCCACCAGCAGCCGACTCATAATCGATAGATTCACTCAAGCCATCGACTTCCGGAGTCGTTGAGCCTTAATTTTTTTCCCCCTTACGGCGGAAATGAGATCTGCCGGGAAGGAAAAGCCGGAGAAATGCGCGTAGCGCTCCTCGCTCCACGCACGCTCAGGAGCGTCTTCATTCCCTTCCACCCCATCCCCTTCCTAAGCGGCTTCCTCCGCGTGGGAAAATGGGATAAGTTTGGAAGACGATGCACTTTCCTCACTTGCAATTTATACCGGCTCACAAAGCCCTGGCAATCCAGTGTTCCCCTGAAACACACAACGTAGCCTGATGTCACCCCTCCCGAGACCGAAACAGTATGTCGGTACTTCCCGTTCTTCCTGCTTCATCTTTCATTGATCCGGCGTGTTAACTTTATTCCCGTGGGACTTAATGCTAACATACCAAACCAGCTGTACTGTCATTGATAGATTCCCAGGGTTGGTGCCTGTATCTTAGGCGAGGGGCGAAGAACACGTGCCATTGGCTAATCACCAACCAATTAGCATCCTCAAAACGTTCTCCCCGCTGTCGACAAGGGAAATAATAGTTCGCTAGCCAGTCTGAGTCTCGCCTGTAGGCACAGTAAGTCTGGACATTTCGCAATTGCGGAGCTGGGCCAACCACGCCTTCCTAAGGCATAGCTGACTGTATGGGCGTAGCAATTGTTTTGACAGCTTATTTAACACACACACACAATTTCCTTCATAAAAAACTATTTCCTGAGTATCAAGGTCCTGTTCTCTTAATTAAAACTTGGGTTTTCTCCATTGGGTTGGCTCTCATTACTTTTTATAGGGAAAGGGAAAAAGAATCCAGGTTTCATCTCAAAGTAGACTCCGAGCCTCTAATTTTCTGCCTCTGTACTCAGTCTGATGCACAGAAGTCCACGTGGAGCAGGGATACATTAGCCCAGTGTTTCTCAACCTAGAGAACTTAAAGATGTGTGGACTTCAACTCCCAGAATTCCAGCATGCTGGCTGGAGAATCCTGGAAGTTGAAGTCCACACATCTTTAAGTTGCCTAGGCTGAGAAATACTGCCTTAGCCAAGTTGCTCTTGAAAAGAAAAGCACGGGGCTCCTGGAGAGAGGGGCTGATTTTAAAGGGATAGATGAACTCCCACAGAACAATGCGGAAGGAATTTTTGCTCTACTGGTTCTAAAACATGATTGGCCTGTAGGAGACCTATTGCTGCAGATCTACTCAGCAGCTGACTAAAGTTCATCCATTAATATGTAACTCCTGGAAAGCATAGCTATGAAAGGGAATGTAGCCAAGGGTTACACAAAGCAGTAATTTGTGTGGAGCTTTCCACCACAAAGATCATTTTTTGTACTCTGGGTTTTGCTGCATGGAAGCATCCCTGCTGGTGGTTAGGAGCCGCATGCAAAAAATTGTCAGAGCCACATCCTACTGATGCCCTGGAACGGCTGGCTTCTTGGAGCAACCACAAGATGAATATAACTTGAAAGCCTTTTTGTACAGCTGTGCATGAGAGAAGTAATCTAAATACAACCATCTACAGTTCCAAATGATAGTGCTGGGATCTTATGGCTCAACACCAAGAGTAAAGTACCTCTCAAGTAGGCATATCAGTTTCCATTGAGTTCGTACCTATTTTTCTTTTTCTGCCAGGTAACAGATTGGCAATATTCCTAAGCCTTAAAAAGAGATCTGTAGCTGTTTTGAAAAAGTTAATAAAGAATGACAATATGGGGCAGACCCTGGCTGAAATTGGAGGCAATATGAAGAATTTTTAAAAATACAAGCCACACATTTAAACATGGGAAGAATCTGCATCCATAAGTGTATGGCTTAAGTACATTTTCCTGATATCTATCTATTGTTTTTCTTCACTGTTCAAGGTTTCTCACAGCACCATCCCTGAACACCCAATGCATAACTGTCCTTTTCTTCTTGCCTTAATTTCATTATGTGAGGAATATAATACAAGAGCTTAGGAACCATACCTCTCAAACTGGGAAATAAAAAGGAATCACATGTGGAAGCTGGGTGCAGAGCCTTGATTCACACAACACTAAATCAATTTATTTTAGTAACTGTTTATTAAATACACCATGATAGGCAGGGTTCACACGCTGCTTTAACCTCAATTTACAAACCACAAAGCCTGGATTTATATAGCATGCTAAGCCACAATGAAGTCATCAAGACCTAGCATGTTAACAATTTATTACTATTATCACCATTATGTTACTTTTTCTCCAGGAGCCTGAGGCAGCTTACCTAAGAGTCCAACTTTATTTTAATTCCCACTGAAATAATCCTGTGAGGTAGGTTGCACTGAGTGCATCACTGACCCAAAGTTACTCAAGCAGTTTCTAAGGTGAGGGTGGATTGAAACAGAAGACTTTGACAGTTTTTGTCCAATATCTTTAACCACTGTATCAGCTGGTGCAGTTGAACCCCTGGCATAGAGTGAGGCTAGTTATATCACTATGTTTAACCCCTGCTTCATTAGCTATTAGAGCTAGGCAAAGCATTCAGAAAGGGTAGTTATGAAGCATGCTGGTGTGAGCAAAGCCTCTCCGAAGAGTTAAAGCAGCTGCTACATTATGTAAAAAGCTCAACAAAGCTGCTTGAAAAACTCCCCAGCTGTCTGCATGTGAGTGCATAAGCAGCCTTTTGGCCAGGAATGTCAACATGTTTTGCACAGTTCTATTAGCCACAATGGCATTTGTTTCCACATCCCATTCAGAATACAGGTTCTGACTTTTAATGCCCTAAATCACTATATGGCCCAATATCTTGCAGACCACATTCTCCTGCAGTCAGCCATAAGTAAGCTTACATGCTACAATATAGGGTAAGTTAATGTCTAGACCAGTGTTTCTCTGGACTTCAACTCCCAGAATTCCCCAGCCAGCTATGTCCACACATCTTAAAGCTGATGAGGATGAGAAACACTGGTCTAGACAATAAAGGGCTTAGAGGTTGCACTGGAGAAGAGACCTGAAAAGCAAGCATGTGCAAGACTGTATCAAGATATCAGATGTCCCAAGCCATCTATAATGGGATAGAGAATTCTTGAGAATCATTTTTAAAATAAAATTCTTATACTCCCTATGGTCACCCAACAATCATGGAAGAGGACATCTTGATCAGATGGAAGACCACCAGGCTTTGATGTATTATCTTATCGGCAATCAAGCTGAGGTAATCCAACACTGCTTATAAAAGAGAGCTGGAGGGAAGAGAAATCTGAAGTCCCATCTTCCACTTCATCAAGGGTCATCTTAAAGAGCGCTCAAGAGAACTTCCCATACCTTTTTGTTGTTTGGCCAGGTACTAAGTCTTTCATATGTAAGATATGAATGACTGACAGAGTGAATGAAAAATTGCCTATGTGGCTAAAATAATGCTTTTAAAATCTATTGGTAGTCTCCTGGAGTTGTTGGGTTATTTCCACTAAGATTGCTCTGGTGCTGCATAAAAGATTCCTAAATCCATAGCAGAGGATAAACCTCTTGTGACATATAAACCATAATAGCCAGGTTCACACAATATGCTTAGTACAGTACTAACCTCAAACTCTCAGGGTTCAGTTTCAAGGAAACAGATACAGGAAAATAGACACGAAGCCTATAAGCAGAAGTCCATATGGACAAGACCCCTAACCCAATCAAAGCCAACCCTGAGTGGCATATAATTTGCCATATTTATAAATTCAGACTAAAAACTGAAACACCATTCCTCTCCAGAGGGAGCCTGGGGAAGCAGCCATGCTTTAATAGACTTTCTAAAAGCCAGGAAAGGAGGCCATTCCAGGGCACAGCTGCAACTGAAAGGCACGCTTCCAAGGTCCCTGCAGATGGCAGTTCCTGAGAAAAGGGACTCAGACTGAGCCTGCCCTGGGCAGGTCCACGTTACTATGAAAATGTGGTCCTGCAGATATCCAGGCCCTGAACCATGAAGGCTTTGAAAGGTGACAACCAAGACCTCCAATTGCGCCCAGAAGCCAAGTGACAGCCGGTTCAGCTCTCAAAGCAGAAGCATTCCAGGGGTGCCTAAGCAAGTCACTGCATTCTAGGCCAGCTGTGGCTTCTGACTGCTCTTCAAGAGCAGACCCATGGAGCGCGCATCACAGTAATCCAACTGGAAGCCAACTAAGGCATGAGTGACTGTAAGCAATTTTCAGTGACACAATTTTCTCTGATTTTGGTACTGTCTTTTCACTGCAAAAGCAGCCCAGCAACAAACTGTTGTTGGGACCAGCTAGTCCAGTGGTTTCCAATATTTCTAGGCTAGTGGGCACATCTGTTATCGTGAAAACATGTTGTGTTTGTGCTTTTCCTGCTAACTTTGATTCTTTTTCTTTGCAGGTGGACAGACTTCTGAACAACTTCTTTTTGTAATCTAACGGAGATCCACTGGAAGCTCAGAAACATTCTTGCCAGTGCTGTAAAGACGACTTGGAAGGCTGGCATTATGCTTTGTAGTATTCCAGCAGCATCCTATTTTTAATTAAACACTTTTTAAAAACATAAACAAGTATAGGGGATAGGGAGTTTGCTAAGCAGCAAGGTGGATGTACACGAGCACATTCAGTGGAGTGAGGACATACTTGGTTATTTGTAGAAGTAGGGTATTTACAGCTGCTACTGTGCCAGTTTACAGGGTAAAACAATTTAGTGGAAGCTTCTGTAACATGCACCCTCATTTTTAAACCACAATTTCCAAGATCCCCATCCAACAATTATGATGACTAGAGTGGTGGGAACTGAATTTTGGCACAACTGGATGGGGGCACTAGATTAGTGAAAAAAATGATTTACAGTGGTAGAGTTCCTAGACCTGGATTTCCCCCTACCAAAACACGAGAGGAGCATCCTCCAGAAGCGTTCCTCCGAGTCCGCCTAAGTTGGACTTACTTGGCTTCTCCGAGGTTCCGGGAAACAAAGAAAAAAAAAAAAGCAACTAAACGGGTCCGTCCTGACGTTATGAAATGAAGAACTCCTGACCCGGGATGTAGAAAGGCGCTTCCTTCTGTCTCTCATTGCTTTCACAGGGCGGAAACTCCAGCCACTGGACTAGTGTTGGCACAGAGCCTAGCCGTTCAGTGTAAAGGTTACAGGCCGAGGAGGCCGGGCGGGCTTTGGAGCAAGGAAAGCCGCGGGCGCACCTTGCGAGGGGGCAGGGGACGCTCTGCTCTGCTCTGCCTGCTCCCTCCCTTTTCCTCCCAGTTACTGTTTTCGTGCCCGGGGGGACGCCTCACCCGCGCGCTAAAGGAGGCGCTCCTGCTCGCCAGTTTTGAAGTGGCAGCCCCGCTACTGCTGCTGCTCCTCCTCCTCCAGCCCCAGCTGCGCGGAGCGCTTTCGCGCGGCTTTGCCTCCTCTTCCTTCCACACGGGGGGCTGACCATGACGGCGAAACCCGGGAAGTTCTGGCACGAGGCGTCGCACCAAATCCTCGCTGGCGGCTCCGCAGGTAAGCCTGCCGACCCGATCTCCGCGCGCCCTCTGGACCTCCCAGGCTGGCCCGCAGCCTGGGCGCTTCTCCGGGGGCCGCGAAGCATCACTCCCACTTGAGCGTCTCTCTCCTCGCGGCTCTGCGCCGAGCTAGGCCCGCCTCCTCAAATCAACGAGCTCCCCTTCCGGAGCCTTTCGGGTCCGCCCTTCCCTTTTCCGTGCATCCAAGCGGCGAGCGGCGAGCGGCGGCGCGCCATGTCTGTGCGTTCCGCCTGGCCCCGTTGCTCTATTCGGCTGAGCCGACACGTGTACGCCAAAGTAAATTCCGTGGAGGTGGATGGAGCGTTCCCCTAAACGTGTCTTGTAGAGCAAACTTAAAAAAAAAAAAGGGTTTGTAGCGTGATGCATTGCTGATAGTTACTCAAAGGAGTTAGTTGCTTCTGTAGGTAGTTGAAAGCGGATTGATATTAAGGGTTACCTTTCTTAAAACAGCAAGCCGGTGACTTAGAGATTGTATTTTATTTTGTAATGATTAAGGCCACCAGATCTGGACTGCGAAAATCTGGTCGCCGATAGTATACATAAAACTAATTCTGCGATCTAGTGATAGCCCGGAGTTTTGGAACCCAGATCCTTTGAACCTGCTATGTGCAGCGTTATGTCTAATTTATGTACCTGTGTTTATAAATGATTATTAGAATGTATGTTGCACTGTACTATAATATTATGTTTTAACATACTGTAACTCTTTTGGAAGATTTTGCTGTGGAAGGTGGGCCACAAATGCTGTGAATCGAACAGCAAAGGAGAAGGAAGGGGGTGCACTGAGGTTCCTAGGTGGGGAGATGCTAGCTATCCATGACAGGTAAACATAGTTGCAGAACTGTGAGATGGATTAAAGGGGGGATTTAGTAGGAGGAAAGGTAAACGGGCATTAGTAGGTGAAGCTCCTTGCATGGGTCTCCTGTGTATCGCATGGGGGCTCTCTCAGCCCTACTTGCATGTGATAGAGATTGGCTCCCTGTGAAGTGTATGCGCTTTATCACTTAGCTATAGCATTATGTCTGTTCCAATTCCATTGCATGTTTTAGAATGCATAACATGCTGTATGTTGCCTGATAGTTGGAGTTAAGACTTGTTGATGAGGATTGGAGGGCAGTGTCTGTCTCTGGGACACAAATGCTGTTTTCCCAGTTTGGGCCTGTTAGCTGTGTCATCCGGAAAGTAAGGTGAAGTGAGGGCTGATAACAATCTGAGCGTGAACACACAGACATATAGTTCACCTGCCCTTTTCAACAAGAGCCAGGTAGGCCTGAGATAATAGAAGATCCGCTACTGTGGTGTTCCCCAGTCCCACTTCTAAAAAGTATCTTTCATGCAGTGGTGGAGAGCAATGTAGCACCATGAAACTTTGAGGTTAATTTTCAATAGTCCATAGGATAGGAGTGTTTAAGTTCTGTCAAGCTGAGGGTAGCATCAGGCTTTGTATGACATGACAAGAGTTGCCCTCCAAAAAGTAGGTGAGGCCAGAGCCTATTTGGGGAGGAACTTTTAAGGTGGGGAGGAATGGGTGGCTTGAGCATCTGTCCCTTAAACCATCTCCAAATTTCATTTCATTTCATTTATCAAATTTATATAGCTTCCCATCTCATACAAGGTGACTCTGGTGGTGTACAATAAAACCAACAATTAAACATATTATAAAACCACTTAAAACAATTAAATAATTAAACATAAATAAGAACAAGATAGTGAGAGGGTTAAAATCAGAATGTTATACACGGTGCAGCCAACATGTGGGCTTCCTGCTGCCAGGGGATCCCCAGGCCTGATGAAAAAACCATGTTTAAATGCACATATTTTTGGTCTAACTCTCCATGGGCTGGTGGTTTGGATTATTCACAAAAGGGGTGGTGACAAGCTGCATGTACACATCATGTTATCAGATCTTAGTTTAATAAATTGTTGAATACATTTCTAGGTCTCTTATTTAATTGGATAATAAAAATTGGCAACTTTGGAGCTTCTTAAATAGATTCAAATGTTTGTTGTAGCTGGGTGACATTGTTCCCCAACTCTGTAGAAGAATTAGAACAAAGACAGAATTGTTCTTCCAAACTTCTCTCTTGCTTGAAAATATGTTATTTCTTTGGTGTTTTAAGTTTTTAAATATTATATTGTCATTCTTTGAGCAAAATAATCCATATATTATGGTTAGGGATTGATAGAGAAATAATGCTGATATTGCAAGATGTGAGAATCGATGCTAAGGGAGATTGTCTTTCCATAACTTTATAATATAAATCAGGCCTGCACAACTTGTAGAGGGGAAAGGGTCTCACTGATAAATTAAAAATAATTGCAGGCCACAAAGGAATACCTGGCGTGCCAGTCAGCAGTTTGATAATTAGCAGAGCAGCAGTGGCACTGAGGCCTGGAGGTGTTGAAGGTGCTTGGCAATGTGTCTTTTGGGGCGGCGGCAGTTAATTTACTGACTTTTTAAACAATTGCAGCAGGCTGCACAAGGCTACTTGGTGAGCTGTATGTTGTGCAGGCCTGATATTGATGAATGTACTGTAACATCTCTGGTTTGCAGGTAGGGGATGGAGCTGTCTAACTAAGACTGAGATATAATGACTTATAACTATCTTGTCCCATCAGTCTGTTTCCAGCCAAACCAACTTCCATGTGCCTGCAGCAAACATATTGTCCTATAGCCACTCCCATACAAAAATATTAGGTTTACTTGTAAAGGAGCCAAGAAAAACTCTTTTTGGACATTCCTTCATGATACCATTAAACACAAGGAGATGAAGAATGCTGCGTTTGTGGGTACTACCTGTTTGACTGTCTCCACTATATGGCTTGCACATATTAAGAGGGGAAGATTTGAAGTAGGGATATTGTTGTATGTATGTAGGCTTCCAGCTTCGAATCTTGTCCTTCTAATGCATGGCTGGCAACAGGGCCAGGGTGCTGCAAAGGGAATTGATTGGGTCAAAGAGTTTGACCTTGCTATCCCTCAGAGGTATTTGGAGTCCTGTGGTGGATAATGATCAAGTAGAATTTTAATATGTTCCAATATTTGTTTTTCAACAGTACATTAATATTGCAATAAATATTTAGAATCAGATTCTTGATTCTTTTGAACATGGGTTTGAAAAAAAGAGATATTTGAATGATTCTAACTACATTCATCTATTGATATTAAAGCTGTGAAAATCATCCTTCAATACATTGTATGAAAACAGCCTTGGTGTATCTTTTGTTACCTACAATTTACCAAAGATGGTAAGAAAAACCCTTTAGCAATGTTCATGGGAGGCAGAAGAAAGTTCAACATTTTTTAAAATGTAGATATTTTTGGTAGTTACCTTTCATCTTTGGCTGTGTGTTCCTATATTTCAAAAATGTTCAGCTTTAAAATTACATCTCTCTCTCTCTTTATTTTTGCTTTGAACAATTACATTACTAGCATTCTGATATTTGTTAATTCAATAATGGCTGGTTCACAAACGGATTGGGCCATACTTTGCTTAACTGTTGTTCTAATATGCTATAATGGCAGGGTTTATCCATTGTGCTAAGCCATAAATCATTGTTTACAAACCTTAGTGGTTGGGTTGCTACAAGGTATTGAACCAGAAACAATCCAATCATAATTCAGTTGCTTTGTCCATTTTGTTTTGAAAAAATCTTGATTTATCTCAGTGTGGTACTTTTTGATTTCCTTTCTGCTATGGAAAATTGCTCCCACCATTTCTCCCTGCTTCAAAATGATTCTGCTAGAAAGCTTTATAAAGTGACAGAAGTATGAATTGTATTCTAAATAACATGAAGAATATAACTTGTATTGCAGAATTTTTCTGCTTTCAAATGTGACCTTATTTTTTAAAAATGACACTTTTGAAATTGCTTCACTGTGCATATTTACTGTTATAATTATATATGGTCTTAAGTATATGTCTAGTTTGTTGAAGGCCACATCAGGATTTTGAACAGTTAAAAGGGTTAGGGATTTTGTGGGAAGTATTGGAAATAATAAGTAAATTGATTTTTATAGCCTGGTTGAAGTTTTGAAGATTGAAGTAAATGAACACAGTAGTTTGAGATTGCAGAAGTGTCAACCAAGAAGCTGAAAGGAGGTTGCAGATACCTCAGGACTGAGGAAGAAGCTGCATATGGGCTATCCTCAATACTGAGGATAGCCCATATGCAAGGTAAATATGGGTTTGCACGTCTTCCTTGGTTTTAGTTCTTCTCTCAGTGCATTTTTGCTTGGTTGATGGCCTATAGGTCATCATATCTGAAAGGTGTTCTCCCATCTTCTTTCCTGAACAAAAGAAATAAACAGTGGCTCATGGAACTTGTTTTTTCAATTCTCACTTGCTTTGGGGAGGTCCAGAGTTTGCCACTTCAGTTATACAAAGACCAAGTTAAATACATGGAAGATTCATGCAGGAAAATTATAATTTAAGCATATCAGAATAAATAATTTTTACTTCTTTCATTTTTGCACTGCTTTCATTTTGCCACATGTCAGAATGGCACAACTCTTTAATAAATTTTTCTTCGGGTTTAATTTATAGCAAAATTGATAATATAATAAAGACCCAATGGTGATGGTTGGACAAGGACCAAAAGAGAACCCAATTCAGCTCTATTCTCCACTTCATATTTCATGGATGAAAAACAAGCAGAAATCGAAAAAATTATAAAAAGTAATTTCCACCTACATGAGCATTAATTAAACTCTTTGCAGGGACATCATAGGCATTTTGCAAGATTCTTAAGTCCTTTCTGATATAAGTGCGATTGTTCATCCTATCTTTGTACCTATGAGCTTTTTTTGACCACTAGAGCAAATGGATTAAGAAGTGGTATGTATGGACCCCTAGGGAAGGGACTTCATACATGGTCCTTGTGTCTTCTCAAATGTGGCCCTCTTTCTCTCATGCTTTCCTCTCTTCAAAATTTAACTTTCTATTTAGTTTAAATAGAAGTAGCCTGATGTATTCC